CCCCCCCGCTTAGCTGTGGGGGGAGCCCTGGGTGCCCCCCCCACAGACCCAGGAGGCACTAGTCACTGAGCCAGGGGATGGGGGGAATCCTCCTCGCATTCCCCAACGGACGCGGAAGTGGACAAGTGCTTCTGGTCCACCACTGAGTGTGCTGGGGACTTCCCCCCACCAATGCTCCCCTGGGATGCTCTATCCACCCCAGCATCTCAGCATTCACGAGCCACCTGGTACCTGGAGGTATGTAGAAAAAACATTCAAAGCTGTGTCTGTGTCCAAGTCATTGAATCTTTCCAAATTGATTTGGAGAGATTAAAGGATCTCCTGATTCGATTCAGAGATTCAGCCGCCAAATTGGGCCTAATCTCTGCTGAATCGAATCAGCAGCTGAGGCTTCACACAGCCCTGCAAGACAGCTCCACGCAGATTCCTCTGCAAGCACAAGGTCTGGAACCAGAAGTGGCTCAGCCATGTTCACAGCTTCATGGCAATACAGAGCAGCACTGTTCTACCACACCTATACTGCTTGCATGAAGGACTAGTCTTCATGAAATACTGTATTCTGTTTTGCTCCATGCAGTTAATTACTTGCCAGTGTTTGTGGTTTACCTCAGACTAGCTCCTAAGCATAGGCCACAAATATTTGTAGGGAGGAACACAGGTTTGATAAGTGTCCAGATCAGCCTTTATAAAGATTGTCAAAAGTACATTTTGACAATCAAAATTAAAGAAAAAAAAGAAAAGAAAAAGGAAGTCAAGAGGCCAGCTTTCTCTCTCTACGTTATTTCACAGAGCACCGAGGAGGAGGAGGAGGAGGAGAATGATGATGATGATGATGATGAAGATGAATAAGGCTCTGAAAAGGCATCATGTCATTTCTTTCTGCAGCTATCCAGGCCTGTTTAACCATTCCTAGCATATTCCCAGAACTGAAGCAAAAACTGAAAACATCGCATGCAAGGAAGATCATCTGACATTTAAGAATTTAAAGAGTGGAGTAGCTTAAGTCATATCTTAGGGAAGGCATTGCACAAAGTAAGTCTTATATCAGTTTTCCAGTGGTATAATCCTTGTTAAGGTAAGAAACTGGCTACATTTGGAATCTTCTCTTTAGATTATGTTCATCAAACCCTGGAAAACCTTACTCAAGTGTTAGACCCAACACCATTTGGCCAAATTAAAGGAAAAAAAAAAAAGCGAGCAAGTCTGCAATGTTTTTCTGAGTGTTAGAAACTACATTAAGTAAAATTTGTGACAAAGCTGATGAGCCAATTTAAATGCTGACATATATTGAAAATTATTAAAGGACTCTTGAACATTTGTTTGATTTCCTGTAGAACTCAGCTCAACAGAAGTACAAACATTGAAAATATTCACATGCAATTTCAAATGTGGAGTGACCATATTTTACTGTAAAGGAAGGGTTCTTACAGGGTTTTTGCAGTACTTATCCAATGCAGATACTTTTAATGTAGTCTAAAGGCTACCTTTAGGATTCAGTCATGTGCCTTCAACTTTCCCACATTGGATAAATACTGATTATACCAGCTGCGAACAGAAGGAACTGCAAACCCCATAATCCATTGGCTGTAACGTATTTCAGTAAACTGGCAGAACACTAGCAGAAGCACCCCTTACTTTCACTGCAGCGTAATATTTTAGCATATGAGGCTGCTAGGAGTGGGGCTTATTTTACATTTACTCCCACAATGCTATGTGCCATTTCATAACAGTTGCACAGTTTAATTATACAGATGCTATCACACTGGCACTGTAAAAACAGTCATTAACAGACTAAACTGGATTTAAAGACAACTGAACGTGAACTTAAAACTACGGGTATTGCAGAATTGGTGCTCATGCTCCATCATTTCTTGGGATCAGATAGGCATACTTAATTTCTTGCAATTGCAGAGCAGCAAGCATTGGAATAGCCTCAAATATTCCACCACTCAAATATTCCAACCGTAGCCCTCACGGATAGGGTAATTAGGTATGAAGTACAGATACAGCCAACTATCCAGTTACAGTTTGCATTTATTCCCAACATTTGTTTCACCACTAACTGCACTAAATCTTAAAACAAATAAGCTACTCAAGACTACTTTTCCATGATTTCCTGTCATGTATAGATTTTGAATCATGCCTAAAGCAAGTACTTTTGACTACTAATGCAATGTGATATGAAAGTTTCTTGTATAGTCTATCAAAGTTCTGGGACCAAATACTAATTAAGAGAACCCGAGTTGTTTCTTCTTCTGTGTGAATGCTGTCTATATTACAGAAAGGAATCCAGTAAAGAATGTGCCAGGATGACCAGTCATTAGGTACTAAACACACCCTGTAAATTCTTGCCAACTTAAAATTGTGGGCTTATTTTCTTTCCCATCTCACCAATGAAGATCTGAGGAAACTCACTGTAAATTTATTCTAGAACTATATTCTCTACTCCTACACCATGAAGTGTTAAAAACTTCCATATCTTTTAAAGAGGCAAGATAACTTAAAATATTTTACCTCAAATCTTTGGCTTGAAAACCTAACTAGACAGTTTTTAAAATGCGTGGTCAATTCATTTTGAACTGGTAAACCTGAACAGATAGCCATCAATCTGCTCTAAGCATAAAGAAATATTTCAAAAACCATATTGCGTGGATTTTTGGCTTCAGAAAGTAGCTTGCTTTAACAACAAAATAAGTCTTTTTTCTTTTTTCTTTTTTTTGCTGAAATACAGTAATTGTTTCTGTTTGCAGGAAAGAATACATAAGAGTGAAACAGGATTTCACATAATAAAAATTTGTGTGTTTATTACATTCAAAAAGCATTGACTTTTTTTGCTTGGAAATAGTTTAATTCTCCAAAAAACAAACAAAAAACACCCTACTAGAGTTGGAAGTTTAATTAGGCCTAACACAAAAGATTATCGCAAGTTCCTCAGGAAATCTGAGCAAAAAAAAGAGTATGGACCAGCGTGTGTTTAACACACTAGATATTCAAGAGTTGTGTGAACATAACCTAAACAGGTTGGAAAAAAAAACCTCAGCATTTTAGAAACAAACTGACTTGGTTAATAGCATGCAGGAATATAATTGAATCATCTAAAAACTCTACTACAATAAACATTGAGGATTTTTACTGATAAAATCCTTTACATTGTGCTTTAAGTTACAGTTAAATTAAATTGTTGGTATTAAATTTGTGTTTCTCATCAGGTTTGCCTATATGGCCAACAATAGAAAAAACTTGGGAGGGATGAGGAATGAAGGCAGCCAAATTCTTCGCAAGACAGTGCAAAGCTGGAAGAGGACGGGGAAAAAAGATAGTAATTCCAGTGGTCACAAATGGACCAAGAAAGGAAAACATAAAATCAGCTGCATGAAAATGCCCAACACTGAGCAGCAGACATGCAAGAAGTAAGGTAACAGTGGAGAGGGGATTGATTAGCTTTTGACAGACGGAGGGGGGGGGGGAATAAAATGTTGATCGAAAACACTACCCCACTGTATAAAGTGATCTTTTTTTTGTTTTTACTTAAATATATGGAAGAGAATTTACTTCAGGGATAATTAATTTGTAAAGCTTTACCTAGGGCAGAAAGCCCTTTACAGAGCTAGTTTTGGGGAAAAGTGAACAGATGAATGTTTAGTCTCAAAATTAAAAGTATACACCGTGTTTTACAGCAAGCAATAAATCTCTTTCTTAAAGTGCTGAATGAGAAAGGATATTTTACATTTTAAAGGATGTCTTCTATATATTGTGCACATAGAAAATACTCTAAACATCCTGAATTTTCAAAGCTTTTTGAGAAACACACACAAATAATTCAGATTTAGTCAATTTTATTTACAGTTTTTTTACATTTCAGAGCATTACACAATTACATATTCTCATTTTCTGACCTGCAAACAGATACCTTAAACGGAAATATTTAAAAAAATGAAGTTAGATACATCCAAAATGCAACAATTACACATCTGACAATTCACAAAGTGTAATTTACTAGGACGTATCCTAAGAATTTAGGAACCACCAGTCAGGAGAAAATCTGACCAATTTCAGCAATCAATTTATTTACACATTCAAACAAAGCCTCTCTTGATCTAAACTCCCAGGCAAGAGGCCTGGAAGATTTCTTCAGTGGAAGAAAGACAGGAAGTTATAGTTCACACCTATGCAGCATTAACAGCCCTTGATCCCAAATACTGAACTTTTTAGCTTTGTCTTTGAGCAACAGGCATCCCTTCGGCTTGTCTGACCCTGAAGTGTCATACTTGTGCCCGTGTGCATAGAAAGACTGAGTGTTTGAAAGAGTGGTCACTAAGACAAGATCCCATTTAATCTGGTCTTTAAACTGTGTTGAAACTGTTTCAGGAGAGTAACTAAATAGCTTTCTAGGATGTATTTAAACAAGCCAACATGGTTGGGACCAGACATTTTTACAAGTGTTGTAAACACACTTTGGCCCCATTCACACTGGTGAGCCCAACTGTCTTAGAAGCTATTTGAAGTTTAAAGACAATTCAGAGAGGGCTTAAGTTTCTGCACTTCCCCTGGTGGGCCACTGAGATCACAGCTATTACCTCCATCCCTTACGTTTACCCTTTGCCATGTAGTAACTAAGTACGTACTGGGTAGAAACTACTAAAAAATTCCCTGCAAATAAACTGCCTTTCAGCTGAGGCTATGGCTCCTATGCACGGGGTGTTAAGGAATTTTTAATTAAAAAAGATTCTCACTTGAAAAATATTGAAGTTCTCACTTTAGCCTAATTTCAATTGCATGTTCAATTTGTTTAGTAGTTTAACTTTCAAGAAACTGCTACAAATGGAACAATTTTAGTATAAAAAGAGCAGTCAACTGAGTGCAACTTCTTGAATTGGCCAAGACCTTCATAGTAGTTCTCTAACTAGGCTATAAATTTGTGGAGCCTCCAACTTTCTTGCCTACCTTACTTTCCATGTTCACGTTTCAAACTGTGTCAGCAGGGCCCGAACTTCGGGAGTCAGCTGCTTAGCAGCCTTAGCTGCCTCTGTGATAGCCTTGCGGTAAAGGCCCTTTCTCTTCTTATTAAAGCGCGACTGAAAGTTTTCTAAAAAGGGGGATAGTTGTGAAAGAGCAAGAAAAGATGTTGTTGGGGACCCAAACCACGAAATACGGGCCTCCTGTCGAACTAAAAGGCCATTATCTTTCCGGCTCACAGTTATGGTAAGAATACGGGCTGGCCACCAAGGGAAGCCATAAATCTTGGCCCAAACAATGTCCCCTACACATATGGTCCTGCCATCTGGTGTGACACATTTAGAGACGTTTTTGGAAAAAACTTTCATTTTCAAGGAATTACCAAGCTTTTTCTCTTCCTTTGAAGAGGAGGAGGAAGAGGAGGAGGAGGAGGAGGAGGAAGGTGCATGCATGCTGCCTGGAGGAAAATCAAAGCTTTCAGTAGAACTACACTCAGAGTTGGTGGATTTCAAATCATCTGTACTATCACTACTACAAACTGATGCACTGGAAGAGTCAGATTTCTTTTGATTAAGGGTCATGTAAACCGTTATATTGCTTTTGCTGCCTCTCTTGCCCAATGTCTGGTGTTCATCCTGATCAACAGTTACATGCACTTCACTTGTGTCCTGAACCTCACTGCTGGCCTCTTCAGGGCCTTTTGAGGGGCTCTGGTTTTCTGAAGGGGCCTCACCTGCTGAGCGGGTGGAGGAGCAACGAGACTGGGGCTTAGTTGCCATCTTGCCACTCCGTATTTTCTCAAGTCCTGTCTTGAGGGAAGAGTCATTTTCTTCATTCCGGTACCTTTGTGGCTTTAAACGCAATCGAGGTGGAAGGGACCCTGAGCTGGTGTTCTGAAGACGCCGCGTGAAATGGACCTTTGAATGTGTGTTTTTGGAAGAGGAAGTTGCACTCTGTTTTTTTTGTGCCTTCTCTTTGGCCATTTTCAAAACTTCTCGAGCTTTTGCATGATCCATATTTTTGCTCTGGAGAACTTTTTTAGTATTTAACTGCGCTTTTGAAGTATTTGCTTGAGAAGAAACTTTAACAACTCTGCTTCTGCTATGGGCAATATTTGAAACTTTGACCACAGCATTCCTTCTCTGGCTTTCGTTTTGGCTTTTTCCATCCACTTTATGGTCAGTCTTAAGTTTTTTATTCACAGTAGTTACACTCTCATTTCTTCGCTTTTTATTATCATCATATTTTGAAGCGTCACTTGCATTGCCACCTTTCTTAATTTCTTTTTTTTCTGCAACAACACTGTTTTTACATTTGTCACACAAGACCTGCCTGGGTCGTAGTTTGATAGCATTCATAATAGAAGTGGGTTCCTCCCTGTACATTTTCCGCTTGGGCCGCTTAATTTTTCGGGGTGGAGGCTGAGGTATTGATTGGTTATACGTGTCCCTGATAAACAAAGGAGGGGGATATGGCGCTCCCTCATGAAAGAGAGGGGGTGGTTTAGAAGTCCATAAGCTTTTAGCTAGGCTAGGTTCTGATGGCTGAATGGGAGAAGAATCATCAGGGATTGCACCATTGGCTTCACACTTCACCTGCGTCTCATCTTGGAATGGTTTACTTTGGAGCTGCATGGCTTCAGGTTTATCTTTGTATTCCCTTTTAGGAAATATGGTCACAGGGATTCCATGGGGTCCAAACCTTAAAAAAAAAAAAAGAAACGAAAAATAAGCGTTTTTTAAAACTACATTAGATGATTTTATTTAAATGTCTATGCTAATGGATTCCCATTTCTGAGATACTAATTTTAGTTCTGTTTAGAGTTCAAGAACAGTTTCTCTCTCTCAAAACAACCCTTCAGTCCTAACTCAAGGTTTTGACAGAAGGACTTTGAACTACAGCCAGTAGAGCACACTGAGCAGCCTTCAGACTCATAGGCAAATTTCTACCAATCGTATCACTTTCTACAGGAGCCAAAAATTTACATTTGCTACAAGTGCCTACAAACATATTACAGTAGTCTAGCCTTGACAGCTCACTAAAGAAAACAAGACCTACACCATAGGGACTGCAAACTGAAGATGACATAGAAGTGTTTCTCTCCACTTCCCCAAATTAACATGAAACTTGATTTGGGGTAATCTAAAAAAAGGCACTAAACACCCCATTAGATTTCACACAGTTCCTACAAGTATTTTCCAAAATACAAAAATATTGGCCAACTTGTTTTGGATCCATTACAGGAGATTCATTATATATAATACTATCACCAGATCCCAATAGATTAAAAAAAAACAAAACTGTAAGCTGTAATAAGCTTCATTTTATGACAAATGCTATCTGATACGTTATAACTAGAGACGGGATATCAAGCAAGCTTGTGGCTTCCCTAATAAAAATATAAGCTAAATTCAGACTTCAAAAAGGCCCTGGAGGAAGTGCTCCAACTTACTGTGTTTTACTCAAAGCACTATAAGTTAGAGCAGGAGCCAACCTAACAGATGTTTGCTGTTCAGTGGTGGGGGCTCATGGGCTGCCCTCACTGGGGGCGCTCCTGCATGCCTCCCAGGAGGCTGCCAGAACAGCCCATCTCCCCAGCCCTGCCCACCCCCCCACCAGCTGGCAATTGGCAGCAGCAGCTGGGTGGGGGTGGGGAAGGAGGGGAAGAAGAGGGAAGGAACTGAACCCCTTCCCAGCCCCTCCTTGGCCACAGCTGGCTACAGGCTCTGAGGGGGTGGGGAGTGGGGTTCATGGGGGATGAGAGCCAGTAGCTTCAGTGCAGCATGGGCCAGCCAGGACTCCTACAGGAAAAGGGCTCTGGGGTCTGTTTCCACAGCAGCCCTGGCTTGGCAGTGGCATACCACATCCCTGAGAGAGACAGACTCCAGACTCCTTGCCCTACAGCATGTCCTCCCCCCAGCTGGGCTGTGGGGACAGAAACCCCCCTTCTCCCCTTTCCCCTGCCAGGCTGTGTGGGGCTGTCACTGACTCAGATCAGTGAAAGAGTATGGGGGGAGGGGGGTGCTCCAGCAGAGCAAATGAGCTCTGCCCAAGGCGGGAGTGCAGCCCTGAGCAAAGCCACCTGGGACTGCAGTCACTGCACTCTATGTTAACCCTTGATGGGATCTAGTACAGACATTGATAATGTGCGCTAACAGAAAGCACTTCAGTTACACATTCATCCTGGGTTAACTTAGGGCAGAATCTGCCATTTTTAAAGCGCTGTATGTGCCAATGAGATCTGTTCTGTTACTGATGTTTGTTTCTGCATGCTTAAAGCACATTAAGTGCAATGTCTGTACTTAGCCATAGTTATTACATATCTAGCCTTACCTCTCCTGTACAACCATCCCCATGCCCCAAGTTACGTTTTTCCCCCAGCTAGAACTAGTCAAGTTTCAAGATTTCTACTGTCCTGTTTGGGAGTTTATGTAAGAGACCCATCATAACTGCCTCAATTCCAATCAAACAACAGGGGAGTCCCTGCAAGACTAGTACAACATAGCCTCAACTTCAGTGAAGCAACACACTTCTGTTGTGACTACCAGTATCAGCAGGCACATTAACATGTCCTACAATGTGCTCCAAAGCAAAAGCCATGCTATCTTTTGACAAAACATTAAACCTGCCTTTATTTTACCAAGTGGGTGAAATGGTGATTTAGTCCACAACCACTATTATTCTTGCCAGTCTCCAGAGACACCTGATGTTTGTATGGTTACATCTTAAATAATCTTAAACACTGGTAATATATTTAACTTGTCCATACTGCAGCCAGGGATAACTTGAGTTTTGCCCATCTCCATCCACAAAGTTATGGTAGATGGTGCTCTAGACTCAAGTCTGATCTGTCATGGTGTAGGTTGAAGCTCAGGTGCTGCTGACCCTCCAGCTTATAATGCAGCAAGAATGCAGAAGCTAACAGCTCAATGCCAATTTGATCATTCTGTAAATAAATCACTTTTTGTATGCATTTTGCTACCCGATCACTCACTCAGTGGAGTAACTTAAATACATAACTAAATTAACTTTTGCAATGAAGACAATACTACAGACAAACAAGCATCTGACACGAAGCATCAACTGCATTAGCTGTACCATTCTAACTGCTTGCATTGCAGCATCCCTTACATTGTTACCAGATGCAAGTATGCTGGATGCTTGTGTATTTTTTTTGCACCTTTGCAAGGAGCATTTTAAAACAGACAGCTACATTCCACCTTCCAATTTTCGCTGATTTATTATTATTCAGGTTACTGTTTGTGTTAGAAGAATCTTTATACCAGCCCCCACATTAGTCTTTACTGATTCCCTCTTTGTGCATCTGTTAGAACTAGGTAATGAACAAAAAAACCTTAAGAAACAACAGCCCCCAAACTCATACAGTCCTTTACTCATCAAGCTGCAATGCATACATTACATACTAGTACAAAAAATAGCAACTAGCCAAATCTATGGAGTTGTTTCCACAAAAGTACAGACCAGATACTGACAGTCATACCTGTTGCCTATTCACCAGCTATTGTTCCATTGAAATCTTTCAGCTGTGGAAGAAGGAGTTATGCATTAACCAGCTTAAGTCAGTAGTCAGCAACATTTTGGGGTGGCAGGCCAGAATGGCCCATCCTAGTTGCACTGCTTCTGCCTGCTGCCTAGCGGTAAGTTAAGGCAACACAAGAAAGCTCACTGCCACCTAGACATCCAGCTGCTTGGCCACAGCACAATGCAGTGTACAAAAAAGCTCCTCCACCAAACCCATTGGCTGTGTGGGCTGTAGGCTGCCAATCCATGGCTTAAGCATTATAATACACTTCTATGCATGCTGTTAGGTTGTCTCCCCTTTGCTATGAAGTAACCCATCCCACTGAAATTCAGTTCAGAATGCTCCGTCTATTTAACACAGAAAATTTAGATCATCCTCCATCAGCAGAGTTCTTGTAAATCACACCACTTTGGTATACTAAAAAGGCTTCAGTGAATTCAAAGAATCAGAGAAACAAGTACACCTGGCATAAATATAAAATTCATTTTTATAATGCTGACCTTTTAACTGCTTCAACGTCCCAAAGTTCCACTAAGTGGCAAATAAAATAATTGTGTTACCTGTCTAAAGACTATCTGAATTACACAGACACTCGAGGCTTACAAATAAGTTTCACCCAAAATTAAGTTTTGAGATATGCTTCAGTATTAGTCAACAATCATTAAATTTACAATACATAAAAAACCAGAAGTTTTACTATATCATCACTGCTACAAAGAAGCTTTAGTTTCTTCCATGCTGGTAAAATCTGTGTCCATCTTTTCATCAGTTGGATGGAGGTAACAAATATTTGGAAAATGTATACAATACTTAATAGTCTAATGAGTAAAACTACTGGCCAATTTAAAATATTATCATGTACCAGGGCCTTGTGATTTAAAGGGATAAGGCATGTATTCTCCACCACCCTACCAAAAAGAAACAAGTCATATGTCTGCCTGAGCCAAACAGCCCATCATGCAAGCATAGTAACAGTATTCCAGTTTCTATGGTCAACCACGCAGAGCAGTGATATGACCAGCATCATATCCAGCCACTGACACCCTTACCTGAAACAACCAGGTACCTACCCATTTAGAGATCGGTTGTGGGCAGAGTCACTGACATAAGTTTAGAGCAGGGGCTGAACTAATTTATCGAGAATTATAGGAAACCTCCTCTGCCACTGCCATATGCTCTCTCCTACCCTGTATTTCTTCCATGTATCCCAAGTCTCCCCCACACTTACTTTTCTAAACTTTCCCCATCAAATCTTCCCTCTCCCAACTGTGTCCACAAACCCAATCCATCCACCCCTTCCTACAGGTTTCTGTTACATTTCAGTCCCAAATAATCAGAAGAGTAAACCAAGAAGGATCACCCTCTCAATGGGCAAAATATGGCAAAGTAACCATTTACTTCTCTTCTACCCCATTCCTGGACACAGGGTCCACATTTTTCTACCTCCACATCAGTTTATTGAAGTTCATATATAGCTGTTCCCTCAACAGGGACAAAACACAAAGTCATTTTTCTTGACAAGTATGACAATGTTTTGTCAATGCGATGGCGGGTCACTATTAACAATGGTGTCCCACTCCCTTCACTAACGGGAAGAAAAAAAAAAAAAAAGAGTGAATGAGTTTAGAAAGTACCTATGCTTTGTCAGATTGTAAGACTAAATAGCCTCTTCTACCATAAACATGCATTTAAAAAGTCTTTGGAGCAGTGGTTCTTAACCTTTTTAGAC